GTTTTCGGGGCGGGTCCCGTTGGGCTGCTGTCTGCCTACTCGGCTATTCTGCGTGGAGCGTCCAAGATCTACGTCGTCGACCATGTGAAAGAACGCCTTGCTCTCGCCGCTTCCATCGGCGCCATCCCGATCAACTTTGCTGACGAAGACCCTGTCGCCCAGATTCTGGCTCGCGAACCGGACGGGGTCATGCGCACTGTAGACTGTGTCGGCATGGAGGCGTTGAACTCGAGTCTTGAGATGGACGAGAGCACTATCACACAACAGATGATTGACGTGGCGCATTTCAAAGGAGGCATGGGCCAATTGGGCGTGTATAGTTCACAGGTCGATTCGCCTGGCGCACCGTACGGCAGCGACATCTCGCCCACGATTCCCTTCCCCGTCTCGTCCTTCTTCGCCAAGGGCTTGAGTTTCCGAACAGGAGCCGTTGATCCGAAGCAGTACGCTCCCCAGCTGATTGACCTTATCAACAGCGGCAAAGCCCACCCAAGCTTTGTCATCAGCGCAGTTATTGGCATCGAGGACGCACCAGAGTATTACAAACGCTTCAATGAAAAGAAGGAAACCAAGGTAGCCATCCGCTTCCCGGAGTAGGACGGCTTAATTACACGAAGGCTTTCGGTCTGTATGTAGAGGAAACTGCGGCAATCTAAGTAATACATACGAATTCCTCCCCATATCCCGGCCCGGAGTTTTGGATTCATGTCTCAATACAACAAAAGCATACATGTTGCAACGATCTGCAGGGCATTCTCCTGGCGATCCGGAGGTTCGCTCAAAGCCCGCTTAGACATTTATATGTATGTCCTCAAGCCTTTTTGTTTGAGCCGGGCAGACTTTGCGAGCTGGAAGGCAAGCTCGGCGGTGTCATGTCAAGGTGCTTTGCACCTGACCTAGCCGACGAGATGGTACAGCAGACAAGCGCCTTTGGCATCCGTACAGATGTATCCGAAAGTTAAATTGGGTAATTGCGACATTGTACGCAGAATGTGTTGAGACCTTCCGCTGAAGCCAAAGAGTAAGCAGATATGATTTGCTCAATGGGGGAGGAAGTAGAGAATGAATGTTGTAGGATGGAATCGCGTGATGGAGCGAGGGAGCAATGGCGGATATTTTGGCAGTGAACTTGCCTGCTAAGCCTAATACCAACAGTCTGCCTCACGGCTTGACCAGCCGAATGCGCCTCAGGGGCTGTGAGAGTTAGCTGACGAGTCTACTTCCGTAAACTTGCAAGGTGAAGTGACTGAGTTTGAGTATCATGAGCCGCCGGATAACAAGGCGCTGTGTGCTGGCGTTTGTGAGGGCGTGCAGGGTCTCTACGCTGAACTTGCTCTGCCTTGACCAGGGGACTGAATCCACTGCCAAATGGACTGGGGTCCTGGCTTGTATTACTCAAGTTCGGAGAGTGCTCTGCGAGCCAGGCTTCGCAGCGGCCGCATGTACAGGCCATGTCTGGAGACTATATACATAGGTGTCGGCAGCCTGCAGTCTTTTGCACACTCTTGTCTGTATTATCTATCGCCAAGTTCCTGCTCAATTCAAGCACCTTTTGCTTGCGAGATCAAAGTATACATACAATGTCTCATCTTCCACTTTTTTCCTCTGGCGATGGCAAGATATCTGATCAGGGTGGTAGGGCCAGGACCGCCTCGACGGCCACGCTCACAGACGGTACTAGCATCTATGGGATCTACACCCCCAGCCTCACCCACGACAGTACATTGTCTGAGCTTGTTGTGATACCGTCGGCACCGGAGCCCACGGTCTTATTGCGCGAAATTCAACAGGCTGCCGATGACATATCACAGCTCGTAGGGCGATTTGGATTCAAGATGGCAAAAACGCTGACGACTCCTTATATCAAAAAGGCGCTTTTCGCGGACAAGAAATTGCTTCGACTACCGTGCCTAATATACGCAGACGAATTCTCCTGCGTAATCACAAGGTTCTGTTCCAAACCAATCCACGACTCGACTTCGGCACCGCTGCTGTGGTGGCTCTGGAACGAGCTACTCGACGTCCTGCCGCCGATAGGCGAGACGCGGAACTGCAGACTCGACTTCAAACCCGCCTTGAGGACTGACATAGCCCTGCCCTATGCGATCACCATCGACATTTCAAGCAAAAACAACAAAGACAACATCGAGCTTAC